CAACATGTTCAAAGTTTCCTTGAAATTAACCAATTTCTTGTTTGAATATTTGCAGGTCGTCGATATTCTTTTTAAGCGGTATCATGTAGTTTTAACTTCATAACTAGACTGCGAATTTTATGCATTTATAGCCTATAGGACTCTGTGAAATACAATAAAAAACAGAACTTTCATTGGATCCAACGAGTTTTCTATTTTCTTTTGAATCCAATAAGACATTTAAGAGGAAAACTAAATTCCTACATTTGCTCCTTTCTTTACAAATTACTTAAGAAAAGGTTGTTTTGCATAAAAATCCGCAGTCGAGTTCAGGGGCATCGGATCAGAAATCTAGATTTAAACTACGTAAACAGTCAACGTAATAGCACCCGTTTTTATTTTAGTATACGCCGTCATATTGAAAATTGAATTGATTTGACCATTGGAAATTGTGGCAGCACTTCATAGCCTTACAAGACGATGAAATGCTTGAACATTTAATTTGATCTAAATAAACTAATTTTCCATATTAATGTTTATGTTGACTGGACCTACATTTCTGAATCTAAGGTCAATTCAGTGTCACAGACCACAACGCTACGAAGTAAAAACTACATAATGCTATTTAAGAAAACCTCGATGACCTTCAAATAACCTTGAAAATAGTATAGAACAGAAAGTTTGTTTGGACAACTACCTTTGCGCCATTGAACAACACAACTTTCGTCGTGGACATATTCCTCTATCTTTAATCCCAACAGAGATAATTAGGGGTTTTCTTTTTCGTGATTAGCCCCGTATAAAGCTGTTCGTACATTAACCCCTTGCCCTATAACATCGAGTAAGACTCGTGTTGACAATTTAAAAATCGATTCAACAAAGAAAATGTATTATTCGGTTTTCTTTGAGTCGAAGTGTACTACCACGTTACTGGTATTAATATTTAACTTTCACAGTAAAAGTACACTTCCAGTAACTACAGAATTCCTTTCGTTTCTGGAAAACTATCGAGAACAGTGTAATCCGAAAGACTGCAGACGTCAAGAAAATCATAGGGCAAGGGGTTAAACACAGGTGGGGATAGAAAAAAAAATGTTTACCGGCAACTTGAAAAACCGCGCGTCTGTGGTCAGGGATTAAAAAAAAAAAGCAGGCACCACTAGAAAATCAACTATCTTCAATACATAGAATTTTTTGTAACACGTGGAACTCACTTCAGGGAAACGTGATTCGACCCTTGAAATAATTTAAAAAGTTCACATAGACACGGGGGTTGTTTGATCATGTCCACAAGATACAGCAACTTTTGCGTTCTATCAATTGGTATCTGATTACGTTTATAGGATATGCACAAAGTGATTACCTTACATTTATACGAAGTTATTCAGAAAACTAACGAGACTGATTACGTAGAAAATTCTATTGTTGATTTATCTACAAATCAACACTATCCCTTTCAAAATATTTCTCTTGGGAAGTCCCAAACCACCGAAGACGTTGTTCCCAGTTTTTGAAACAGTGCTGGAAGTCTTCAATCGGAACTGCTTTCAATTGGTCGGTCACGACATTTTGGATGTTGACCACAGTTTCAAAATGACAACCCTTGAAATGGGTTTTGATTTTTGGGAACATGAGGAAGTCACGTGTATTCAGATCAGGGGAATTTAGGGGGCTGTGAAATCACAGGAATACCCTTATTAGCCAAACACTCGTTAATAGAAAGTGCAGTGATGATACAGCGTTCAAGAAAACCCTCTATGGGTTATTATGTTTGAATTTAATTTTTTATAATAATTTGGTTGATTTAAGATTTTATTTTATTTTAATTAGATTAATTGGGAGATTATTATTGAGGTTGGTTTGCTTGCGTCAAGTATGATAGATATGTCAATCTAGCAAACAGCAGATTTCGTCAAATCTTTATTTAAACAATTTGTAATAAATAACAATATATTATAAAACAAAAGATTCTTTTTTATTTATTAGAATAAAGTGCAAGATAAATAATAAGTAATTTTTTTCGTTTTCCTTATTTGTTACATTTTCAACAATCAACTTTTGTACTATCTATAATAATCATTCGCAAATAATAATCAAAACTACGAGTTGTTCCACTAACAATTAAATACTTCTTCATTTGTTATTCACATTATCATTTCAGTAAAGATTAATTCAAATAATTTCCAACTCTGGTAATCGGACATGTATCGAGTATCGAGAGAACTCAAAAGTCGCTGCATTTCATAAACAACATTAAACAGGACATATTTTTGTATGAACTTTTTTTCATTGCTTTCAATTGTTGAATTCGTCCCCGAAGTTGTTTCCACGTATTATAAAACATCCTTTATTCGATTGAGTGTCACTGAAGAAATATACTCTCACGTATACACTATTTTATTAAAAAATATATACATGTATAAATGATTGCGTTATACGAATAATATTTATGTACATGTGGAATTAGCCTCATTATTATATATATACATATAAAGGGTACGTAACATGCTTCCAAGTATAAACTAGTCAACGATGGCAATCAAATTGTCATATTAACTTAATCGTGTTGAATTGTTCATATGAAAATTAAATAAATATTCGAGTTATAATTTGATGAAAGAAATTTTCCGATTTCTCATAAAATGTAATAGTAACACTAAACCTACCGAACCCTCCAAAAAGGCAGGAATTAGAACGGCAAAACCGGTCATTTGATCGGTCGTGGTAGGTTTAGTGTTAACTTATCTCGAACGAGACTATCTCTTATCTTATTGTTACCCGTATTATCTCGTATCTTATACTTAGATATCTGATACGGAATTAAAACTTCAGACTTTAGAATAACGATGGACAAGAATATTCGATGGAATTTAATGAAAAAGAAGCATACAACTGTGAAATGATAATCAATTATAGTCATATATTTGCGATATATTTTCGACTTGTAACGCCTCAAACGTAAACTAACATAAACGAACAATAAAAACACTGTTAATTTCCTAATCTTTGTATTACGTTGTGTATTGTTGCGAGAAAAATAGATTGTTAAAATGTCTGTATAAATAGATACCAAACATGTATATTTATATAAATATACACATACATACAATATGTGATGCAGTTTAATGTGTTTTTTTATTACTTCGCCAGAAATTTTATTTACCATTTAAGACTTGAATAATCGATAGACTTACACCACGTATCGATATTAATTTTTCCTCAATTTTTATGTTTATGACTCACCCAAATCATATAATTAATTTTTATATTTTGATAAGACATTAAAAATTTCGCTTTCTTTTTTAATCTTAATCATTATCCAAGATAATAATTGTTATTCAATTGAAATATTTTAGATGTCATCAATATTTAATTATTGTTTAGTCAATTTTCGATATACCTGATATTGGAAATGGGTTAAAATAAATAATAAATACTATGAATCCTTTTATAACTTTGTTTTATTTCTTGGCGTGGAAGGACGTCTTAACGCTTTGGAAATCGTACTCGAAGTAGTGATGGGTAAGTGAGCTGTTCGAACGTGTTCGAGTAGTAGGGGAAACTCACGAAGCTCGTTCGAGCTGCTCGAACAAGCTCGGGGGACAGATTTATGATCTCAGGGGAGACCCGAGGCTCTGGCACTCGAAGCTCGAAGCCTCGGCATGTAGAAATGTTATCTGGCCGCCGGCAACCGACCCTTGGGCCCTCGGGTTACAATGTAACACACGCAATGAATCACCCATGAATAAAAATTTAAATTTTTACTCCTTTCAGTGTACTTTCTTAAAAATGTTATGTATAAATGTAGATGATTCTCTTGATGAAAATAAGTCAAAACCCAACATAAATCGGACTATATTTAATAATATAGAATTCGTATCGTTAAATCAGGAAAGATACACTGAAAGAGAAATAATCGTCAAGAATATAATATCACAAATTTTTTGCAAGCATTGTCTGACAATATTACTTTATAATACATTAACCATAGTTAACATTTTCGTGATATTGATTTATGTTGTGTGTATTCTTTTTTCATTTCTCGAAAATAACATTTTGTATTTAACATATGTAAATGTATAAACATGGCAATATATTTTCTGTTCCATGATCCTTAACTGTGTTTCTTCTCACCACCATAAGTCTACCACACTCTACGCTACGAAAAAAAACAATTCGAAACAAATGAGACGAATAGTAATTGGACTAATGTCATTATCGGTCAATAATGTCGGGTAAAGCTGTTGTCGATCAAGTCTGGTGTCGGTCAAAGCTGATGTCAATTAAGTTTGGTGTCGGTGAATTGTTGTCGGTGAAAACAGTGTCGATGAGTTCAATGGCATCCTATTCGTACAAATACATATTTGTCGTAAACAAATGTTTAACTTGCAACATTCACGGAAGAAGTTTATATATTTCCTAATCTTTGACAACTATATGTTACTCTTTATTAATACGTAAATTACATATTACTGAGCAAGAGATGACGTGGGCCTGAGATGTAAAGTAAATATAAGTACTTCTGTAAGATACACACGGCCCTGGCTGCGGTTTCACCAATGGGTTTTCGATCACTCGCAAAGTGCTTAGTTGTAAAATCAGTCGGGGGTCCCGCTCCACGAAAGCTGTTTCACCGACAGTACTAGCTGATATATTATAATTAGTAACAATCCAACACTAATAATTAACGAATAATTTCAAGTTGTTTCTTGAAAATGCTCTGTGGGTAATATCAAGTTGGAGATTCAATACCAGCAAAGACTTCCGTAAGAAAACTGTTCGGGCGACCGAGACAGTGGTAGACGGTTTGGGCCAGCTCCGTCGCAACGATATAATATTACAAATGCATGTAAAATCTACTGACAATTATTTAAATTAAGTAAAAAACACTTTGAAATTACAATATGTAGCTCGATTGTCGCCTGTGTTTTAATAGATGGGACAAGTCTTTTGTACCAACCCAACAGAGACAATTTTTTGTAGAATTCCTATAGTTTTAACATCCTAACGAATTATCAAGATTAGGGACTCGGAGTCGAGCTTGGATTAGATGTTGTAGGCACACCAACCACGTTGGCAAGATTCTCGACACTTTTGGGAAATGTTCTCGTAATTATCGAATGCTCTGGACCAATCAGCGCGTCGCCCATCACTCCCATGCGTACGGATGTTCCATACCTGTGTAGAGTAATCGACATATCTGAAAGTAATCAAATATCATGAACTAGATATTTTCTTTTTTAAAAAGTCAATGATAAGAGACTAAGGTCAATGTCCCTATTTCTAATCATGTAAGAATTCTGCTATCGCAGAAATTGATTTTTATTATTTATTTATGCAACAATCGACAAAAAAACTTATTGGACAAAAAAAAAATAAAAGTATTTTTAACACTATTTTAACTTAATAATAGTTAATTTAATATGAAGAATAAAATGTCCCTATTTCTGCTCAGCAAAAATGGAAGTGCTATAACTAAACTTTGGTGAATAATATTAAAGATTCCGTAAGTCTTTTTAATAAAAATGTAGCGTTCACGTGTAACTCACGATCGCAATGGAACCGCTCAAATCACGTTTCTTTGTGACGGACACACTTATTAAATTTATTTCTTTTAAAATGCTGCCATCTATTTAACAGCGGGCTGTAGCATTTTGTACGGAAATACTGAACTAATATAATATTTTTTTGTATAACTAACGTATTACTTAACTTTGTACATTAAATAAAAAATATACGTACTGATCAGAAATCATCATCAATCAATCGAAACATTTACCTTATAGAGACTAACAAGGTAAGAGAATCTAATATCGTCTAGCACGTAATATCGTCACTCGTAATATGCCGTGAAAAAAGTGCGTAAAAATCTAATGGTTATGAGTAGACTGCGGATTTTTATGCAAAATCACATTTTAGAAGTTTGTTCATAAAGACAAAAACAAAAGAGGAAATTTCTTTCTTCCTTTAAGTATTTTATTGCGCTCAAAGGGAAATAGAAAACTCGTTGCATCTGGCGAAAGTGTTGTCCTTCATTGTATTTCACAGAGACCTATAGGCTATAAATGTATAAAATTCGCAGTCTAGTTATGAACTAAACAAGTGGCCAAGCATGTGTGGAAAGAGATGCTAAGGTTGCAATGCCATATGAGCAACATGTAGCAAGTGAGAAGTATATCAGTGAATCTGTCGCCATTACCTCCGCCTCAGCGCCTGTGCAAAAGCTGGATCGTGCTGGCGCGCCGGCGAACGCAGCATGGTGGGAGAGCGAATTTTTGTGCGCGAAAGTACGTGTGAAGGGGAAGTGCGCCATGTGGCAATGTGTTAAGTGGCAATATAGTTAGAGTCTACTGTATCTCGAAAACCTGAGGAGATACATGAAAACTTCTAATGGACAAAGTTTGGGGTTTTTTATGTAGAATAATATAGTGCTAACAAAGTATCCAAAATATAATTTGTTTATAACAAAAAAATTTCAGATCCAAATTTCGAGGTGTGGTTTCACCTCTTAAAGTCGCGTCTCAGCCAATGAAAAAAAATACGTATCCCTTATTTTTGACTGCTCAACAGACATACGAAGTTTCATTAAACTCGGAAAGGAACACTTCCGTGTCTTCTCTGGTTAGTTTTGCATGTAGAATCCACCCAGTGAAAGTTTCCCACATTTTTATTAACACCCTATAGATACATGTTGAATCTCATTTCTTACTTACTGCAGTTGCCTTGGGGTGGTCTCCAATACATCACGGTGTCGACACCTTCTACATGTAAGTCACCATCTACATGAGTCAGCGAGAGAGAATACCTACTGGTCAGCTGATTCAGCATTACTTTCAGTAGCAAAGAAGGCAAACATGAAGAAACGAGTCCACTGGACTCCTCAGTCGCCGTAATGGCGTATATCGCGTGCTGCTTCGATCTCGCCTCCTGAACGTTCTTCTGGATGACCTGACAAGACATATTCTTACAATAGTAACAACACTGTTACAAATAACACGTTACATTCATTATTGTATGCTTTGAGTAGGTAAGTTACCAATAAATAAGTATTATACAGGGTGGGCCGGTAATCGTAGTACAACAGGGCAGGGGGTGATTCTACGTTACCAGGGTATCTCCCAGGTACACGGGAACCCGGGTAATTTTTGTTTACCCGGGTATCTCACGGGTACCCGAGTACCCGGGTAAAAGTAGTAACCCTAGCCTAAATGGATGATTCGACACTCGAAACGAGTGTTTTTTTTTTCGGCTCGATCGATTTTACGCTCGTGCTATATCTTGGCGAGAACAGTACTATGGTCTGTTTTTCGAAAGATGATGCCTGGGAGGTAGGCCCGAGTTTTCGCGGTGTTGCCGCGATCGCGAGACACCTACGGTACTTGTGTCTCTCTCACTCCTCGCATCTTGGCCAACGACGTCCGACCGTCGACGTGAGTCCTCGCCTACGGTCGTCTGTCTCTCTCTACCACACGTATTACAAACCTCTCGAGAAGGAACTACCTACGACCTCAAGGAGTGGGGACTGCGTTCGGCACGTGGCCGTCAATCATCCATTGTCTGGACATAGCGTAGAATGTTGACGAGACGCTGAACGTTTTCACACGTCAAAAGTTAAAATTACATTAATAAGAAAAAGTTTATTTCTTTTAAAAGAATGTATTGTACCCAAATATTGAGCAACATATTAAAAGGAGATTAAATTAACACGTAGATTATTAAACGCTACACGTGGAAATCGCAGGGTAAAGAAGGAAATTGATTTACCGAGCGTCTGAGCGAGAGGCCCGCGTGCCGAAGTGCCGGAGGATGGAAAGAGACACACAGTGGTATTCAGACCGTGCAACGTCGCACGAAATACGCAGCTCGCGTTGAATCTCCGCCAGGCCACGCGCCGAGGCAGGCCAACCTCCCAGGCATCATCTTTCGAAAAACAGACCATAATATCGACGAACCTGCAAAATTTCAACCAAATCGTCCTCGAACATCGGCGTCTTCGTAGGCAGCGCAAGGCACAGGATACCCCTGGCCTCGAGGTTCTGCGTGAATATCGCTCGTTGGCTAACGAACTTGCCAGTGGCGAGTACATCGTCGGGTATCCTAACACCGGATTGACGGAAATACTCCTTGAGAGCGTCCACCGTGGCGGTCAATAGAATCTCGGCTTCGGTAGCTCCCGTCATATTTGAAATCTTTCGGAGAACATCAAGCTGAACCTGATCGGACCAAGCGACCACCTTTCGACCGCATGACGATGTCGTCTGCAAACGATTCACCTGCGGATGTTTCAGAAACAACTCCTCCAGAATCATTTTCGGGGCTTTGATCGTTATCCAAGTTATGGAGAACACTTCAATGCTGGCTTGTACCACCAACGGAAGATAATACCACAACATCGCAGTCACCGTATCCGGATAATAATGCTTGTGACGTGATTTCAAAGCCTTCAGTTCCCTCAACAGCAGAATTGGCGTTTTCAAGATCGCTGTCACCGTAACATACCAGAACCAAAGAACTGTGTCGTACAAAGCTTCCAGAGGGTTTAGAGACTTTATTAGCGCGCGAAAGATCACCGTGAAACCGAAATTCCTTTTGGACGTTTCTTTTTGGACGATGGAGAAGACCTCCAGGACCCTGGGTTTTTCTCCTTTCTGACACTGTCTGAAGAAAAAAAGAAATGAACAGTTTTTCCGAATGTTTTTCATCTATTGTATATGAATCATTAACACCGTCACGGCCACGCTTTGTTCGAACAAATTTCTCATGGCGCCGAAAGGGTACCTACTCATAGTTTACAGTTTGGACTATTCTTTATGGAAGGTTTAATATTAAACAGTTGTCTATCAATAGATATATTTACTACGTTGAAAAATAGTATAAATCATAATTAATTTGATGATCTTACAAACATTATGTGATTTACATTATAAACATTTAGAATTGTATACTAATATGTTTTGCTTAGCGTGCGTTCGATGATCGACCTCGCATGAACGAAAAATCACGAAAAACGATTTGCGCATCGAAAGTATTAATTATAAATAGAAAATGTTTATTCTGTACCTTGTCACCTCCTTCAACGAGGAAACTAGAACGATCACGCCGATTTTCGTGCACTGGAATATTCCGATCTGCTTTTTCAGAATCTCCGGTCGCTCGTTCGGGTCATTGTTATATAGAAACTCGTTCCAATAATTGGTGAAGCTCTCTGTGAGCTTTTGGTAGAGCTTCGGCAAGGCGGACGGATGAGCGTAAAGGTTGGTGAAAGGTGACTCGAATTCCTGACACGTCCAACCTTCGATAGAAAATTTTAGTGGCAGAAAGTCGGCCAGAGTGAGACGTTCTTGTCGTAAAAGTAGATGATGGACCCGCACTAGACAGACTTGGTACTCTTCTCCGTGAAGCCAGCAATTTATCACGTGCACGTGCCATGGTGGCTGCCCAGATGGAAAATATTTCGACGTGAGATCGCTGACATAATCCTGAAATTCATCAGCCTGTTACTAACGATCATGACGCAGATTTGTCTCGAACAACACTGTTCAATAAAATTTGGAAAATTCTGATACGATGAAGTTAAACAGGTTTTACTGGCTTGATTTTGCATTGCTGAATACATACAGGGTGAACCACGAATCGTGATCAGTAGAGATTACTCTGTTATTAGCAGTTCGATCGAAAATGTTTTTATCAGGTATAGCATGGTTTCAAGAGAGCTTTAACGTGATTATAGCAAATTTTTTGTCAACTCTTTTTTTTCATGGTTGTTCAAGGTCACCTTCAATTTTTTGCAAATACACCTATGATTTTTTTACGCCTATCTGTTAGAGGATTTCAAGACGAATTCGGTAAGTATCATGACATAACATGTGTTACTCTTTTCTTCATCTGGATCGAGAAAAGATTAAAGAAATATTCGAACTGTAATATTACAAAGAGTATCGTATGCTACAGCATTGTACGCGTTCCGATGTTGAGCTCTTGCCTACTGTTTGTAAACATTTCGTTCTGTACATTGGAACACATCTAATATGATATCTACTGATCACGATTCGTGGTTCACCCTGTATAATGATGATCTCATTTTTGACCCTGCACGTAATGATCTTTTATTTAATTGGTGGTATAATCGATAGGGAGTGATTCTACGTGAAAAAATAAGTCGAAAATATAGAATAAAATGTTTTCATTTGAGACTTCGTTTTTGACATAATCGAATTTTAAAAGTATGCTGGATACGCGTGCAATTGAATAGGACTTGCCTGGCGTGTCTGTTCATTGCATTCTGTTTCTACTTACAAGGGAGGGTTCCAAACCTGAAAATTCTGATTTTAATGAAACTTCGCATTAACGTAGAGCATATTGAACTATGCTTAGAGCAATTTTTTTTCGTGCCCGTTTCCACACTAAAGGGTGAAATCAGCCCTTAAAATTTTCGCATTTTTTCGTTTTCTTGATATAATTTTGTAACGGTACGAAATAGAGCAAAACTAAGAATACAGAAATTGTTCAGTTTTTTATAACCTATTACGCTACAGAAAGAAA